AATCAAGATACATTTGTAATTGTTTAGTATTTAATTTGATGCAACATTTTAAGGCATCAGTAATTATAATTTGACTTTTACACTTGTTACTTGAAAAATATTTTTCATGCATATTTTTATGCAGTTATAGAAATCTTTGCATTATTTTATACTTATAATTAAATTTCAATGTTAGAGAATTAGTTCTTTGCATAACTAATTATTAAATTTGGAAAAGTTAATGATTAGTTATACAAATAATTTTGTGCTTTTGATTTAAATTCATATCAATCTATTTACATAGACAAACTTCATTTTATTATATTTATAAAATATCCATCAGCATTGAATATACATCATTTTTGTTCTAGAATTTTTTTTTTTTCTCAGATTTCATTTATTCCAAAAATATTATTATACAAATCATTTCCACAAATGATTTTATCTTCTGGTTGTAAAAATATTATTTTCTGTGCTGCATTAATTTTCAAATAATTTTAGTTTTCCTCCTAAATTTTTGTATGATAAAAATTATATGCATTTTACAAAAGATTGAAATAGTTTTGAATGATTAAAAATACAATTTGGACATGTATTTATTTAGTCATTATAGTAACTGATATGCATTAATCACTGACATATCATCTTTTTAGAATTTTTTCCCAATTTTAGTTTATCAGTTTTCCCAAAACTGAAATCAAATTACAGATTATCCCAATTATTTGTAAAGTACACTTGATCCTCTTTAAGAAAAATATAATACAAATGTTCTTCACCACTGCTAATCAGTAAAATAGTTTCTGTTACCATTCTCATAACCAAATCATTAAAGCAAATACTTTTTGAGAAAAACAGTGGTATATTGTATAAATTATATATATATATATATATATATATATATATATATATATATATATATATATATATATAAATAGATAATTTACACAATATGCCATATATACATACCTTGTGTAAATACAAAATTGTCCATTTGTTAGATTAAGCTTCTTTGGACCATTGACTTAGAAATGATTAAAGATATCTTACTGGAATTCTCTGAGGTTTTTATAACACTATTGGACTCTACGTTGTGCAGTAAGAATGCATAATTACTTTCCAAGCTAAACAGAAGTACTGTGATGAAATCAAGCATAAACAAAAATGACATGTTCATCATTAATTAAACATACCTAAGGATCAGAAGCTCATGAAGGATTAAAATTAAGTTCATATATATATTATTCCAGGATCATTTTCCAACTTATTCAAGATGATCTTTTCCCTCTCTAACCTTCTCACTTTCTATCCTGGAGTAACAAGGTGCCTCACACATTTCACATGAAATTCCATTATCAAGTCTTTTCTCACTGCTTTTTGGTCTGCTATAGCTGAAACTCCTCTCTGATGTGCCAAACATGGATTGAGTTGGATCTTTTCTAATTGATCTCTTTAGGTCTAAATTGAAATGATGATCCCCCTTCCTGTTGTGACCGCCTGATCCAGTTTTCCTCTTTATAGTTCCCTCTTTTTTAAACTTATTCACCATTCTCTTGATGGTTCTTGAATGGGACTTTGAAGATGGAAGCCAAAGTATGAATGTTGGTACCATTACTGAAGGCCTGAATGATCTTTTTTCCTCTCAGCATGGCTCATTTGGGAGCTGACACTAAACAATTTTAACCTGTTCTCTTTCTAGCTGAATAACTCAAAGGGTTTTTCATTGATTCATATGACAGTGTCAAGATGGCTAAATGTCTTATCTGAAAACTTGGAAAAAAAGAAAGTCAATTATTTTAGTGTTTTTTTAGAGATTAAACATTTTATAGAATGGACAATTATGCTGTTACACCCGGTGTATGTTTGTGCATATAAGTGGACATTGTGATCAACACCCAGCAGCAACAGTCTGTTTCATGCATAAACACAATTAAATGTAATAATAACATTCAACAAAAAATAACAAAGCAATCAATAATAAAGTTAACAAACAACACTATAAAATAGCAAAAAAAAATTTGGATCCACAATTATTTCTACTCAATAGTTCCTAGAATAACTTAAAACATAACTGTTAATACCCACCCAATAACCATTAGAATAATCCAATAGACCTACCCATAATGCATCACTGACCAGTATATATAAATAGTTGAGCCAGAACAAAATGCACATGGCCTGACAATTGTGCTTAAGCATAAAACAGACTGTCGACACTGGATGTTGACTTTTATATTTACATGCACTTTATTCCTAAAATCAAGTATGTTAACTCATATAGCATACTTTAAAAATATATTTTATTATATTTAGCTCCTGGTAAACAGTAGAGCACTTTTGTTACATTTATAAAAACCAACATGGACACAGAGAAGTTTAACCTTGACTACTCCCTAAAAAACATACCTATCCAATCATCATCCACCTACAAACTAAAATTAACAGAAAAAATAGAAAGCTTCCTAAAAAGAATGAAATGGAAACTACAATTTTTTTAAAACCAAGAACTCAACACAAATACCACATTCAAGGAAAAATATGGCTTTAAAACAAAAAATGTACCCTGCAGCACAAGGAACTTCGGCTTCGAACAAGTCTTAACTAACTTAGAAAGAAACATAAAATTTTATAAACTGGACACCTTCCAGAAAAAAAACTAAAAGGAGATATAACTAAAATAAACCTAACATATTTATCACAGCAGACAAAACTAGAAAGTTATACAAGTACCCCAACCCCGAAAAAATACAATAAACTACTCAAGGACAATATAACTAAAACATACAGAAAAGCAACAAAAACAACAGAATACAATATTAATATGGAAACTAAAACAACCACCCAAACATTAGACCTAGATGACCAAATAAATTGCATCACTAAATCAAGTATTAATCACACTAAAGGCCACAAATTTTAAGAACAAATCCAACATGCAGACTTGTAAACCCAACCAAAAGTGAACTAGGTAAAATAAGTAAAATAATACTAGAAAGAATTAATTCAGAACTAAAGAAGTTAGGCATAAACCAGTGGGAAAACACAAAAACAACTGTAGAGTGATCCTGCAACTTAAAAAACAAATATAATTGTGAATTTATACAACTAGATATAAAAGATATTTAGCATTCTGTAATAGAACCCATGCTGAATAAGTTCCATCTTCTTAATTCAAAAATGAATAAAAATAAACAGAAATTAAATAAAAATTAAACACTCCTGAAAATCACTACTATTCAACAATAAAGATGCATGGATAAAGAAAGAAGGAACCTTTCCCTTTACAATGTGAAGCTTTGACAATGCAGAGACCTGTAAGCTTATAGGTACACAAACTAAATAAAATAATTGATAAAAATGATATAGGCCTCTACCAGGATGACAGTCTCACAATCTTAAGAAACTGTAACAGACAAAACCAGAAAAGCAATCATGAACATTTACAAAAATATGGGATTCAACATAGACATAAAAACTAACCTGAAAGAAGTAGATTTCCTAGATGTCACATTCAACCTAAGAAAAGATACATATTAGCCAAATATAAAAAACCTAATGACAAACTACTCTATATACACATATTGTCCAACCATCCACCATCAATAAGATCTCAAAATTAACCGCAGGTTATCTGACAATTATTCTGGTGAAACCATCTTCAATGAATCTAAGAAAGATTATGAAACAGCCCTAAAAGATAGTGGATTTTACACCCCACAAAAAAGCCATCAGGAAAAGAAACATCAAACAAACAAAAATGTAAAAATAAACATAGGAAAAATATTCATTAAACTCATGCACAAACATTTCCCAGCCATCAAGCACTCTCCACAAGATATTCAATAAAAACACAGTAACAATCAGCTACAGATGTACTGAGAACATGATGCAAATAATAAAAAATCACAAGAAAACAACCAACAAACTACCTGCACAAATCCAACCCACAAATGTCCCTTAAATGGAAATTGCTTAACTTAAATGTAATATATAAAGCCACTGTAAAATCAGATAACAAAGAAATCATACACATAGGAGTAACTGAAGTACCCTGGAAACAAAGAAAAAATACACACACAAAACATCCTTTACAAATACTAAATATGCAAACAGCACAATACTTTCTAAACATGTATGGGAAATTAAAAACAAATCACACCAAAAATATCATGGAAAATAAGGAAAACAGTATCAGCCTAAAACAATAAATCCAAAAACTGTAAACACTTTCTAGAGAAAAAACAAATTATTAAATAAACAATCAGAACTACTCTCAAAATGCAGACACAAAAACAAATTTTTACCACGTCACTTAAAACTTGAAAACTAAAAATGAACAAAAATAAATAATAAAATAAATATAATAAATTAATCCAAATAAATTAAGTAAATAATTAACAAATACATGCATAAACATATGTAAATGTAATAATAATCAACAACAAATAACAGAGAAATCAATAGTAAAGTTAACAAACACTATAAAATAGCCACAAAATTACATTTGGATCCCAGATTATTTCCACTCAGTAGCCCCTAGAATAATTTAAAACATAACTGTTACCACCCATCCAATTACTGTTAGAATAATACAATACCCATAATGCATTACTGATCATAAATATAGCATACTTTAAAACAGTGTGTGTGTGTGTGTGTGTGTGTGTATATATATATAATTAAAATAAAAGATGGTCCATGTGTGCTTCTTATAATGTTCCTTGGAAGGTTGAGTCCTAAAGTTTATTTTTTGTCTTGTTGCAAAAGGACACAGGCGTGTCTGAAAATTCCAACTTTAAAATATTTCTTTGTGCTTCAGTTTAATCAAAATCCTACTAATATATAATAAATATCATCAATCTTTTTTATCAATATGTTTATCATTTTGTTGTCTTCTTATTCTTCAATTTATATGTGTGTGTATGTGTAAACACTACTTGCTTCCATTTCCTTCAATGTTCCATTTAAATAGTTTGCTTATCAAATCATTTTTAGCTATCTAATTGTATTTTTTCACTTTTCAGTTAATATTTTCTTCAGAATATACCAAAGCCATGGAACAGAACTACCATAAAGATCACCTGGCTTGCAAACACTGTGACAAAAAGCTAATTGCCTGTAGGTACATTCTCAAAGACGAGAACCCTCATTGTATACCTTGTTATCAAGAAGTGTTTGCCCACAATTGCTATGAATGCAGGAAACCAATTGGGCCTGATTATAAGGTAATAAAATCTTTCTCATTTGAATTTTTAGTCCATTAACTTTTCTTATTTTCTGTTTATTTCAAATTTACAAGTTTTCCTGACAGCAGAATCTGTTTTAATTGAATGTAATGTTTTTTAACTTTTGTTTTCTAATAGATAATTGTGTGTGTGTATATATATATATATATATACATATATATATATATATATATATATATTAAAAAAAGTGAATCTGAATCTTTCTTGTTTGTTATTTTCAATCTTTCCAGCTAGATGTCTTTTCCATTGAACTTTTAAATTATTATTGTTTTATTTTTTATTTGCGCCAAAGGATGAGGGGAAGGTATTTAACAATATTTTTTGTAGTATCATCTTGCAGTATTATATCTGTGCATATCTCAATCTTTTTGATGTCCACTTGAGTATCATTCTCCCATTTCTATTTTTGCCATGTCTCTATATGTTCAAGATGTTTATTAAATGATAATCCAAATAAAATATTTCATTTTCCTACAACTTGAAAATTTTAATGCTGAATTAATATAAATTATTCAAACTTGTCAGTAAAATAAGTTTAAGATCACATGGGTATTATACAAATTATTTGCTAAATGGGTGGTCACATGGCTGGGCATTAATACATTATAAAGTGTAATAACTGAGCATTGTTATACAATTAATTCACTATGGGAAAGCGTCGTAATCTTAGCCCAGTGACTAGATAAAAAATAGTGTTACTTCATCAACAAAACATTTCCTTTATGAACATAAGCAAGCAATTAAGGTGCAGCAAAATGGCTTGTGTTCAGGCTTGAAAGCTTTACTAGGATACTGGACAAAGATTAGGAGCACTAAGAAAAACAACAGTGTAACTGGAGAGACGAATTTATAGGCTTCTTGAAGCTAACTTAATGCTGACGGCCATGGACATTTGCAGCCAATTATCTGGTAAAACTGGTGTTAGTTTTATGCCACAAACTGTCTAAGAGAATTTGGATTATTTAGGTGCATTGCTAGAAAAAAGCTAATTATTTTGAAGAGGAATCAACTCAAGCGGCTGAATTTTGTGAAAAGTCACATTCAATGGATGGCCAACAACTGGTCTTTGGAGTGACAATCACGCTTTTGCATCTTAAATGTGTCAAAAAGACAACACAAGCAGGATGCAGGAGTGTAATGGCATGGGATGTGTTCAGTAGCTTTGGTAGCTATATGCAGCTAGTTAAGGAACATATTCTGCCATATTTGACTGACCAAATGCCACCTGGAGCTATTCATCAACAAGATAATAAGCCCCATTCACAAAGCCAAAAAAGTAATGCAATTTTTTGATCACCATAATATAGATGTCATTGAGTGACCTCCACAGAATCCAGATCTTAATCTGATTGAAAATTTATGGAACTATATTTCTAAAAGAGTTCATTCTAATAAACCAAGAAATGTTGCCCAATTATAAGATTATATTAAGTAAATATGGCAAAGCATTCCAAATGATTTTTGTGTTCACTTATCAAGCTTGATGCCTAGGCGATGTGAAGCTGTAATTAATAATAAAGGTTATGACACTAAATATTTATAAATATTTTGTTTGTTTTTTGCTCAGTTGTTGCTTTAAATATAATACCCATGTGGTCTTATACTTATTTGCCAACAAATTTGGATTAATTCATCATTAAAATTTTCAAGTTGTAGGAAAATATACAATTTTTACATCATTTGAAAGAGAAATAAATTCTGTATAAAGCATACACAATAAAACTAATTTATATTGTTTTATTAGAAACATATTCTGAAATGAATAAAGCTTTAACCATCAGTCTTAAACTTATTTTCGCCAGTGTATGTTTATATTTTTGCATTAGTTGATAATTAGTTGAAAATTTATTAAATTTCTATAGACTTATTTTTCTACTACAGACATAATTCATAAGTGCTTTCTTTTGTAAATAAAAGATAATATATAAAAAAAGTTATCATTATTTTTCTACTGTATTTTGTTTTACATTTATATTTACAATATTAGAAGGCATTTTTTAAAATATAGTTATTATTTGTCTGATTAAAAACATTATTGAAAAGTACTGGAATAAAAAATATTATTGACAGATTTCAGTATATAATTTTTATGTTTAGTTTATGCCTACAGATATAGTATTTGTATGAAATCTTAATTAAAGCAAAACTAATATTGAAATTTTCTGCAATAACTTTTTAATTATTGCAGAAAGATACAAATTTAGTGAAGTTATAATATCAAAATCATCTATATCAAAATCTATTGATTTTTACTGATTAAAAGATTGGAAGAAATTTTTATTTCAAAGAGTCCGGATCTTAATCCGATTGAAAATTTATTAAGTACCAAACTAATAACTTAAAACGGTCTCTACAGGTTTAAAAAATATGTCATAAATATTTCCTTATAAAATAAAGTGCTAAGCATAGTGAGAGTAAGATAAGCAATATATTTTAATCCTTTTTATGAACTTCTCCCCTTCCAGTTTTTTAATCTATGTTTTTGGTTATACTTGAAAATATCATCTAGCCTACCTTTTGAAATGTCTTTTAAAAAAGAAGTAGGTTACAAACACCACATTTGCCATATTTTTAGTATTATTATTGATTGGCTGCAATTCTACCATGTCTTTTACTACTTTCTTTTTCATTAATTACTATTGTATTGTTAGTCATAACTAAAAATTGATTAACTATATATGAATTGTGTTTATCAAATGTTGATTAGGTGGCATGGATGATTGGGTGATCATGTCTCTTTTCAATTCATGATTGACTTGGCAGAAAACTCCCACAGTAGGCTGCTGTTACTTTCTGCAGCAGACTATTTGCCAACCAAGGCTATAGGATCTAATTTGTCCTTCTATTTAACCCATAACTGGGGGAGAAGAGATGGATTCATACCTTTCCCATAGGTATTTGTACATAAGTGAATATAATGAATGACTGCAATTCAAACTTGATTTCTCATTCTGAGTCATTATCCATCACACACTCACATCTAAGCTTACAGCACCTGGTATTCCCAAGCAATCACCCATCTAGGTTAAATGTTACTTTGGTGATTGGATGAGAACTGATGTTTCTATATGATATGACCATAAGCTGTTTGAAAGATAAGTCTAAAAGTAATCATTTAAAAAAAAAAAAGAAAATAGTTTTATGTCATTAAATAAATATGAGACATTTTTAAAACAAAAAAGTAAAAACAAAATCACTTTCATCGATTTTGATTAGCTAATTGATGGATGCCAACAAAAAGGAAAATAAAACACTTTAAAAATCTTAAAAATCCAATATCTCTCCCAGACATTTGTTTCAAAGAGAATTAATGAATTAATTAAATAAACTTTCTAAAAATATTACTTTTTGCTTAAAAAATAATGAAAATACATTTTCCCCAGCAGGCCTTCAAAGATCAAATAATTATTTTCTTATACACTGCATCCTACTTTAAAAAATTCACACCATAGGTCATTTAAAATACAGAAACCCATCTATTAGAAAACTTTGTGGAAATATTTTTCATTTATAACCCCTTAACCAAGTGATTTCCTTATTGTTACTGTATTTCTAAAATTATTATAATAGCAACAAAAACTTTATTAAACTATTGGCTTAAATAGATTAGCCAAAACTTTCAATAATTTTTGGTAACCCTCAAAAAGGCTGTTATATGTTTTTATATCATGGGACATAATTCAAAATTTGATTTTTGATATTCAATTTTGAACATCTGTAAACTAAAAATAAAATCAAACAGTTGTAAAATGAAAAAGATAAAATTATTTTAAAAGTTTACACTTGAAAATGACATTAAATTTTACATATTTAATTCTTTAAGCATGTTTTATATTTTAAGTTTATCAGCAATAACCAAGATCTGAAAGAGTTTTAAAATCATTGTAAAAATACAAGTTAATTTTTAACAAAGAAAATATACATCAGAGATTTTTTTTTCTGTGGAAACAAAAAATAATTTTTGAGTTTTCTTAAATTCTTTTCTTAAAATTTCAGACCATATTTTTGATGTGTTCATAGTCATTTTTTATGATATAACATCTTTGAGGATTTAGCTTTATGTAAAAATTAGAAACATTCAAAATTTACTAGTATGGATTAATCATAAAGGAGTATAATTGACTGTAAAAAATACTTCCACAAAACTTTAAAATAAAAAGAGATTCAATATGAAGTTCATTTGCTAGTGAATATATGCAGGGAATCAGATCTCATTGGATTTTCCAATCCAATGAGATCTGATTCCCTGATTTTTAGTAAATTTTTGAATTCAGTGGGTTTTTGTTTTTTCACAAGTCAAAATGCACATAATTTTAAAAGTACCTAGTGGAGAGTCATGATCACCTACATCCTGAAGAGATATAGAATTTAATCTTTTAAGGTTAGAAGTGTCCAAATGCATGCACGAGTTTCTCATACCTACAATCTAGGAGCACCTGAATGCACATGTATTTCAATACATATCATTAACACCCGTTAATCAACTAGTGACACCAGAAATCTGCAACTTTTTGGAAATTCAAAATGAATTTACAAAACCATATCTCATAATCAGTAGTACCAAAGGAATTTAAAAAAATAGTCTGACTGTGTTCTTATTAAAATTAGAGTTGGTGATGTTTCATTTAATTAATATAAGAGGTTTGATCGAAACGTATTAAGACTGTTACTATGGTAATAGAGCTAAAGTATGCATGGTGAAACTGCTTGGCACAGATTGACTTTGAGCTCTGTCATGCATACACACCAATATATAATGTTCTTACACACTCCCATTGTTTATAGCAGTGCTTGGAAGGAAAGTGCATAGAGTGGTCATTTTACCACACCATAAAGGTTCTATCAGTTACAATAGAGAAGAAAATTGATTAGAGAATTTTCATCAAATTTTCTTAGAACCTTGGTGATATCTGTGCAGAGACCTACACAAAGTTGATGAAAGTGATGAAAAGGAGTATTTGAGCTGGGTACAAGTGTAC